TGGATCTGGGAACGTTCCGGATCTTCGATCTCAGTGCATTCGGCAAAATTCAAATAAATGCGATGCACACGGTGACGATGACAAATGGCCCGACATTGTGGACAGCTCAGCGAACGGCTTAGCCAACGGGTGAGGCACTCCTTGTGAAAAACATGGCCGCAGCTAGCTGTTGAATATATGATATCATTTGCTTTGTAAAATTCATTGCAAATGCCACATAAAACGTTCAGTTTCTCGGCTTGCTGAGTTGATTTGGTTGCTTCCGATTCTGCTTCCGCTTCCATGATTTTTGGCCTGTTGTTTTTATTGAGCTACGTCTGGTTCTTATCTCGGTGCTCTTTGATTTGTATTTCATCAAAAGCACAAATAAAAGGCACACAAAAGACAATATACGCAGCGATAGTCAAAGTTTGTAATTGCCGTGCTTTTAATTAATCGATCAATCGATTATTATTGTCGCGACAATCGGTTATCGAAGGTGTTGTATGTGTAGCCCTGGTTTTCTGCACGTTGTTTTTATTGTGGCTGTTGTTGCTTGTGACATAAACATGCAGCGTAAGGAGCCAAATCCATTCCAAAAACTGGGATTGCGGCCATGGCTGGCCAAGCAGCTGACCAAGTTGGGTGAGCTAAACCGAATTTAATCGATATAAAGACACCTATTTATCCTCCATATTCCCTAGGCCTCAAGGGAGTAACGCCTATACAAGAGAATTGCATACCAGCGATATTGTCTGGCAAGGATTGTATTGGCGCAGCCAAAACAGGCTCAGGCAAGACCTTTGCATTTGCCCTGCCCATCTTGGAGAAGCTGAGCGAGGAGCCAGTTAGTCATTTTGCCCTCGTGCTGACTCCCACACACGAGCTGGCCTACCAAATCTCCGAACAGTTTCTCGTAGCCGGCCAACCCATGGGCGTACGCGTTTGTGTTGTCTCTGGTGGCACCGATCAGATGATTGAAAGTCAGAAGCTGATGCAGCGACCACACATTGTTGTGGCCATGCCGGGTCGTTTGGCGGATCATCTGACAGGCTGTGACACGTTCTCGTTTGATAACCTCAAGTTTCTGGTTGTAGATGAGGCGGATCGCATGCTAAATGGTGACTTTGACGAGAGTTTGGCCATAATAGAACGCTGCCTGCCCAAAACACGGCAGAATCTGTTCTTCTCCGCCACCATGAAGGACTTTATGAAAGAGTCCAGCATCTTCCCCATAGCCAAGGATGTGAGTGTGCAAATTAACGGTCATTAATTATGTTATTATAATGCTAGATTTAAAATACATTATAGTGTTTGGAATGGTCACAGGAGTCGGATGTGGCCACCGTGGATACACTTGAACAGCGCTATTTACTCTGTGCCGACTATGATCGTGATATGGTGCTTATCGAAGCCTTGCGCAAGTATCGGGAACAGAATGAAAATGCCAATGTCATGATTTTCACCAATACAAAGAAGTAAGTGCTTAATTTATTTACGATAGAAAAGTATTTAATTTGTGTATACCCTGCCAGATACTGCCAGCTGCTCTCGATGACGCTGGCCAGCATGGAAATTGAGAATGTTTGCCTGCACGGCTTTATGCGGCAAAAGGAGCGCGTTGCGGCGCTCAGTCGCTTTAAGTCCAATCACATACGCACCCTGATTGCCACAGATGTCGCTGCACGTGGCCTAGATATACCCAGCGTGCAGCTGGTAATTAATCACATGCTGCCGCGTACGCCCAAGGAATATATACATCGTGTGGGACGGACAGCGCGAGCGGGACGCAAAGGCTTGGCCATATCAATATTTCGATTTCCACGCGATCTGGAACTACTGGGCGCCATTGAAGCAGAGATAAATACCAAACTCACAGAGCATCCCATAGATCGTATGTGTTTGTTTTCTCTTTATGAAATTAAGATTAACTTATTTGAATAATATTTTGTTAGAGCGCATGGTGGAGCGCATATTCATGCAAGTGAATGTAACACGGCGGGAATCTGAGATGCAGCTGGACAACAATGACTTTGACGAGCGCGCCCAAAACTACAGGCGTAAGACGTGGATTATGGAGGGCAAGGATCCTGATAAAATGGAGGCGCTGTAAGTGATGATAAACTGACGCCCTCTGTAAAAACTTTAAATTAATATTTAACTTTTACAGCTATCGTAAGAAGCAAAAGGACAAACTGCGCGAAATACGACGCAAGCGCAAGGAGCAGCAGGCAGAGATGGGCACCAGTGAGGAGGGCAAGGCGCTTCTAAACGACGAACGCTTCAAGACTGTGGACAGTGCACGCTTTGAGAAGAAATTCCGAAAACGTCCGGCAAAAGATGCGACAGAAAAGACGCCGCTTAAATCGAGTAAAACAAACGCAACCACGAAAACGAAACCAAATGCAAAGCGCAAAGCAAAAGTGACTTGATGAGCTTTTAAATATATGTGTATATATATATATATATATATATAACAAGTAACTTTTGAGCTTATACTACTAAGCAGTTGCGAAACGCATCATATAAATATTTATGTAATTTCAGTAATTCAAGACATGCTTAAAAAATGTAGCCGTAGCAGCCTTCAGTTTATGGAGCAGTCACTTTTTCTATATCAGTTTCTTCAGTGTCTCAGTCTAGGGAGATTGTTAACAACGCATCCTCAGGACAGATCTCCAGCAGCACTTTGGCGCCATCGTTAAATGGATACGAAATGCTGCCATCAATGACCAGATCTGCAGAAATGAAGAATGGAAATGGTTGGCAATCAATGATTAGGTTCAGCAAGCTGATGTCCAGCTGCTACTCACTGGCATCGATACAGTGCGATTTGACAAAAACGCTCTGCACAAAATCGCGGGCTTTGAATGTTGTTGGTGAGGGCCAGACACCCACACAGATTTGCTCCCGTATGGAGTAGCACAGGCGCGGATCGTCGGGCGCAAAGAGCAGACCCTGATTGTAGCGCAGTGCTATTTCGTCAACATTTTGGCGCAGCCGAAGCACTTCCGGTGAATCGCTGTTGGGCAGCGATTTTAGCAGATCGTCCACATCGCTGCTGGTAATGCGATTGATGCTCGTGTGCCAGGATGTGGAGCCAGTGCCAGTGCTTACGCACAGGCCAGAACATTTCGTTTTATTCACCAAATCCTGATGGTCCAGCACCAGTTGCAAGTGTGATACGCGTGCTGAAAGATGCTCACCAATGAAGACCTAGAATGCGAAACGCAGTGCTTGAGAGGATTAGCTGGACAGTTTTGTTGTGAGGCTAGCTCAAACACACCTCGTTCAACGCCAGATAGGGTAGAATACGCTTCATTTTGGCCTTGTATTTGTTGGCCATGTGCTCATCGAGCATTTCGGGCGCCGTATCCACCTGCTCCATCTTGACAGCCGTGTGCCTGAACAAGTCTGTCGACTCGGGTATCTTGCCATTGCTGCCCATCATGGTGGTGCGTATGCGTGAGCGATGCATCCACTTGAAGTCGCCCTGTTGAATAGATGGAATGTAAGCTATGGTTGACAGCATGACTTGGACTACATACGCTTTTGATGCGGCTGACTGCTTCCTCGGGATTCTCCGAAAAGTATTTGGGCAACAAGAGGCGGCCGGCGGAACGCTGTGGATCCGAGTTGAAGCCAACAATCGGTGTTTTCTGCTGGCTGAGGGCAAACAAGGGACTGGCACGATTGGCGGACAGCAGAAAGGTGCCATCGCCGCCAACGGGCACAATAACATCCGCCCAGCTCATGACATCCTTGCTCAGAGAGCTTCTAAATTCAAGTCTGCTTTGTTTAATAAAGTCAACAGCGACAGGGACACATTATGTGGATGGCGGGAATAAGTACAATTTGTAGTTTGGTAATTATTGTGACGACCAAAACGATGACGATGACGATGACCATGACCATGACCATGACGAATGATGAACACACCAGACGCAGTCACAACAAAGCCACACACAAACAACAAACTTTAGAAATATGTATGTACTAGGCAAGACGCCGGAGCAGGCGTGGCACACATTAAAAAAAAACATAGCACAACAACTACGCACCTGCTGGAGAGCTTCACCTCGCAGCCAACATTCTGGAAGCTTTGCACAATCCGTCGCTCGAAGTCCTTGTGCAGATTGTGCAAATAGAGGACCATTTCGACGTCGGTGCCGCGATCGCGTAGCTTCTGCTCCAGCTGTTCGCGCGACAGTTCCGGATGACGCAGTTGCTCCACTTCATAGCGGGACAGCTTCGTCACGACCAGGGCACGCTTCAATTGAAAATTTGCGGGCGCAAAGTTGGCATATTCTGTGCAAATGGAATTGTCAGATATGTAAAATACATCAGATAATTTATTCATAAGCTCAGGCCTCATTTTATTGCCAATCATTCGAATGCCGCATAAGTATATTTTTTGAATACTTGGCGGCGTTTTTTTTTGTCGCTAACAGTTAAATCGATGAGATTTTCTTTGCTTAAATTTAATGGGAACTCGAGATTTTCGTAGTGTGCTTGACAGCATTTTCCAACTAAAATACTTATCAGAATTTTACTTTCAAATTAGATGAATGATAACATTTATAATTGGAATTTTGCAAGTTAATCTCTAATTAAATGTGATTTCTGACAATCACATGCCTCAGCCTAAAGCTGATAATAAACGGAAGCGCAATTCATGTACAATATAAAAAAACTACATCGTAAACAACGAAAAGGCTGACAAACGATTGCCTTGTTAAATTGCGCTCTAAAAGATTTACAAATTAAAATTGAAGCAAACAAAGAAATGTTTCTTACCTTTGGCAAATTGTTGTAGCAATTGCTTGGACTTCAACATGCTGAGCGTTGGACAATTAAATGGAGCATTTATTTATGAAATTCTTTATTTAACTCGTGTTCTACATCAATTGATTTATATAAATTGTGTACCAAACTTAAAAGTTGTTATTCTGGTATTTCAATAATCTTTCGTTCTTTCTGTTGTTTTTTTTTATAAGGTTTAAGTATGTTTCTACTCTTTGTTTTTCATACATTCGGTAGTGTACAATTTACATTCCGTAATTGGAGGTTAGTTGTTAAACTAAAACTGACATCAATTATCACACTAAATACACGTTATCCGCAGCCATTGACCAGTTCTTTTTTTTTACGTCCACGTTCCTTGTCTTTATTAGATTTACTGATTGATTTGCTATTCCGTTCGGTCGTTGTCACAACTTTCGTGTATGAATATTCGCTTCGTTTTGCCGTCATTTATCGCTGTTTTGTTTCTATTTTTGTTCGCTTTCGCTTTAACATCTCTTGCTGTCAGTTTAGTTCTTGTTGTGCATTGCTGATAAGCGGCACGGCCTTTTCTTATCAGCCCAAAAATAATAATAAAGCAAAAATACAAATACAATTTCAGTCATTTGCGTCTGTCGTGTCGCTGAATTGCCATTCACAGCACAGCCGCACTCTCTTCTTCTTAACCTACGCCTACGCACTATTCACAACACGCGCATTCACATGTTTTCGGTTTCCATTCTCCTGGAACGAATACTTTTACGTTAATATTTAAAGTAACTTAAAAAAAAGATAAATTTTTCTTGCTCGCCCATTTGTCTACTTGAAGCGATGATACATTCGTAGGTCCGTGGTTTCCGGGCTTATATTCATGTCGAGGCCATGTGGTTCCTCGGACAATCCATTGTTTTGCTGTTGAACAATAATGGTTGACTTTAAGACGTTATTTTCAAGCTTATACAATTTTACCTGCAGGTGGGACAACTCCTGCTGCACATCCTCATCCAGTATGGGCTTATGAAAAACGGTGCTCAGCAACATCATGGCGTTCTTGGCCACCTCAGCCACATTCAAATTCATGCAGCTGCTTTTGTCCATGTTCATCAGATCTGCCAGACGCAGTGAATCCGAGGCAACAATGCCACCGTTTGACCCATTTGGAGCACGCTGCATTTGGGCGTTGCGGTTTGTCAGGTTCGTCGGCTGCCCAACGTTTATCTGTGGTACGTTCGAATTTAAGGTGATACGCATAGGAGGGCCCAAACGATTAACCGTATTATTACCAATTGGCATTTGTGCAGTCGGTTTCATCAGCGACGCGGCTTGTGTAGTTGGATTGGTCATCGAAGGACGAACTTGGTTAGCTGAATTAATTAGCGCCGTCAACGAATTCGAACCCAATTGCCAGTTGGCAGAAATGGGGTTGCTTTGATTCTGATAAGGTTTAAATTGATTGTTCAGATTGTTGTTGCGCGCGTTAAAATTTGAATTTTGAATATCGCTCGGATTCAGTTGGGCGCTCACATTAAGCTGCGGGCGTCCATTCTGAAAGTGATTGTTCATGTTCATCAATACCTGCTGCTGCTTTAAGTTGTTGTTATTGTTATTATTCATATTGTTGTTGTTGTTATTGTTCAAATTATTGTTGTAGCTATTGTTATTATTGTTGTTGTTTGGAGGACCGATGAATGCATTGTAGGCGTTCCGCATACGCTGCTCCATGGACAACTGGCCACGCTGCGTATTGCGACCGGGAAAGTTGCCTAGCCGATTATGTACAGAATTTTGGCAGTTATTTCGATTGAAATTATTATTGTTGTTGTTGTTATAATTATTGTTGGATGCACCGCGATTGAAGCGGCGTCGATTATTTTGATTTTGATGCCAGCGATTGCCGCGATGAGGATTTTGCCGTGGTGGCTGGTTACGTGGCGCATCGCTGGGCACCAAAGGAGCCGCGCCCGGAGGACGGTTGACATTATTTGGTTGAATGCGCCACTGAGCTGAATCAGCGGAAACTTCCGCATTTGGGACTTGTTTGGTGTTATTGGTTTGGTCCATTGGTGCATCGGTTTCTTGATATAACCGATTAAAGTCATTTGTTTCAAAATTAATTTGATTCATATTCGTATCCTGTATGGAAGAATTAAGCTCATCAACCTGCTGTGATTCGTCGTCATCAGCCTCGTCTTCGTCCTCTCCATTGGTATCCTTATAGGATTGTAAATGAGCCGCTTGTCGCTGGCGCTTATCAGGATGGAATCCATAATGTTTGGGTATTTTTGGCTTGGGCTGTACGTAGTGTGTGTAGTATTCGTCTGGAAAAATTCAAATAATAAATAAATCTTATTTTCATAAATGCTTGTGGTTTTTTATTAACTATATTACCAAGTGGCATCAAAATAGCTGGCGCGTTAAACGAAGTCATGGTGAGTCTTCCCCATAAATCAAGTGCTAAAAAAAATTATCTTTAAATTCTTAAAATTAATGAAGCGCACAAGCATTAAATTCGCCAGAAGAACAGTTAGAATTTTGACAGGCATATGTGTGTGTGCCAGAGTAGCATTCGAAAATTATCAAATAAAACGTTTCAATAATCGAAAAAATGCGGTATTTACTTATGCAGCAAGCAAATTGCAACTCTGGGCTAATGAGCATCGCAGCCAACTTTGCTAGCTTCCTTTACTTTGATTCTGGCTGAAGAACGTGTAACACTTCAAGTCCTGAAGCTCTCAAAATGTAAGTTAACTAAAGAAATGTAAATTGATATTGCAGCTAATATAACTGTGCTAAGTGTATTGCAAGCCTTTTTACAGAACTCAAGGCTGCAAAATCAAATTACAGTACAGGACTTTGCTCCTATGCCGGCTATAATTTAAATTGTAGTCACGTGGCTTGGGGCTTTGCTCTTGTGGCTGTACAATTATTATCTTTATATTTGTTTAAGGTTGATGTATAAAGTACTCTTTTGTTTTACAGGTGAACTGACCTTGTATTGGCCGTTTGGGACGGTCCTAATTAAATTTGGTAAGTTGTGTGTTTTTATATGTAATTTTCTAGTTTGCGAACACGAGTCGCTGGTGTAAAGATAATCTCCACTTTAGCTAGTGCTTTTTATTTGTTCGCAGAGCAATGCGCTTCGCCCAAGCATAACCCAAATTTATTATATCAAAAATTTGCGGTGCATATTGTTTTCGTGAAGCCAACATTTCTAATTGAAAAAGATACATGCTTTTGATGTGGACTCTCATATACTCAAATATTGTACTTTGTTTATTGCAGGCAAAATGTGAACACAATTCAAATGGATTTGTCGCTGTGATAAGCCTGGAAGAAAGGTTAGTTCTATTTTTATTTTTTTAAGTAAAGATAACTCTTTACTCTGATGATATCTTACATTCTGACACCTCATATGAACCACTGTGATTCATTCTATTTGTAATTAACTACTGAAAACACGATTTTAAGATAATTTAACTGTTTATGCAAGCTTGTCTAACAAAATCTTGTTTTTTTTTAGGTTATGCACGAACATGCCGGGCATTTGACGGTTGTGCGTGAAGTTGCCTGCGCTGGATAATAATCCTCAATTGGGTTAGTATTCTTTTACCACGTGTGTAATTCCCAGTTGCCCTTGCAATGATGATCACTTAAACCATTCACAGACACCATATAAAAGTTAAGCTCTGACAAACTTCTTCAATATTTTTTTGAAGTAAGCGAGTCTTGCTTAGCCGGCTATGGACCCTGGTTAATAAATTGGCACTGAGTCTTATGCTTAAAGCACAAGTTTTGTTGTTAACTAGCAAATGTACTTATACTCCGTTTTCTTTTGCAGGTGCTCAAACATTTGGATCAGCTACAGCTGACATCGTTGTACATTCAAAATATGAAATAAATAAATAAACATGCATTTTGAACTTAAAAATCGTTTTTTACTATATTTGCGCGTTCCCTCAAAGCGAGTTCCTGGTTCTGTTTGGCAATCATGCGATCACCCTTTGATTTCTTGCCAATGCCCAGTTTGGGCAGGCCGCGATTGAGTCCCTCCAGCAGCACGCACGCCTTGCACGGCTGCTGTGAGGAAACAAAGCTGCAACGTTGGCAAATGCCGCGCACGGGTTTCTTTACCGTATCCTTAAAACGCAGCTGCTCGCCCGAGTAGATGATGTCCATTATGACCGAGGGTCGCACTTTTTCCAGATCCTTGAGAAAAGCGCGTGCGTGACCCCGGTAAGCGTTCGGCGCAAACACGCATTCGGTGGAAAAGTAGACCAACTTCTTGTAGTGCGCATACATGACAATTTCCTTCTCGTAACTGTATTTGAGTGGCTTGACGCGGGGTATGGAGTCCTCGCCGCCGCCTGTGCGAATGTCCGTGCAGCGACGCAAACGCGCCGTGTCCCCGCGGAGTATGTTCATCAGCACCGTTTCCGCAATGTCGTCCGCATTGTGGCCGGTGGCGATGCTGTCCACGCCCAAAAGCTTTGCACCTCGATCCAGTGCCTGGCGCCGAAAAACGCCACAAAATGTACAATTGTTAGAGCGGCCTATTTGCGCCACAATGCGATCCATAGTCCAGCCGTATAATTCCTCATAGGATAGGATTTTCAGTGGCATTTGATAGTCATCGCGATTTTGTTTGACCGTCTCTAGACTGTCGTCCCGATAGCCCGTGATGCCTTCGTCAATGGAGAGCAGCACCAGGTCCAGGCCATAATCGTGGCGTTCATTTAGAAGCTTCAAGCTGAAATTAAGGTTATTAGGATTACAAGTATGGCCACCGGCAGCTAAACTTACACATGCGCCAGGACTGTAGAGTCCTTTCCGCCGCTGGCAGCGACGGCAACCTTTTCACCACGACGAAAGAGCTTGCTCGAGATGATTGTGTGATGGATTTCAGCTTCAAAGGCAGCAAAAAAGCAAGCCTTGCACAGAGCGTCACCTGTTTTAGGACGCTGTAAAGGAAATCGATTAATGTTTATAACTCAATTCAAATAAGTCACTCACCTTTAAAGTGGCTCTGTTGCCGCATTTAGCTTTACAATCTATAGGCATTTTTAATATTAATTGTTTACAAATAAACAACGTGCTGTGGCAATCGTATTGCTGTTATCGATACAAGTATTGCCGTGTTTTACAACACTAACTCAAATATCGCAAGGTAACTCCTGAAACTAGGCGCGCTTATTATATTTACAATAATAATTGAAGCTATCCTCAATTTCTAGTAAATTTTATAAATAGCTGATATTTTGATAAATCATTTATAATTAAAAATCCATTTGTAATTTTTAAGTTATTTTTTATCAATATTTAAATAGCTTGCGCACGTGGGAGTACCCATAATGCAATAAACTCAAATGCAAACACAAAATTTAAGTAATGACTTTCGATGATGAAAATGACGAATATATACACCAGAAATTGTATCGCAGCCGTGGGAAATGTAGTAAGTAATGCATAAAATGATCTATATTTATGTATTGCACGCTATCCTTACCAAAACACAGCAATCTACGCACGTCAATCAGAAGTTTACGTCGAGGTGAAGCAGAAATCCAATGTTTATGCTAGGACACCAGTTGCCGCAATGGCCGCCAACAACACACTTGATATTGGACACGATGTTTGGTTTCACATAGCCATGCATCTAGATCCGGAGGATGTACAGACCTTTGCCTTGGTGTGCAAACAGGCCGCCAAGCTGGTAAACTCGAGAGCCTTCTGGCGCAACATGTACAAACGCCACTGCCTGGGTGGCACTGCCAAGAGTTGGAACCTGGAGCTGCCCGCCCAGCTGCAGTTGGAGCAAATACGCAACTGTGATACGAAAGCGCTGCGTTCGCACGTCATCGAAGCGCTATTCCACTGTTATCGTCCACTTAAGACGCGCCTGGAGCTGGGCTACAGCCTGGACTGGCTGCTGCACCGCACCTTTATGTCCTGCTCGCAGAAGCAATATCAATGCTTGTGGATCATGTGCTACGCACTTTGGAATCAGCAGGCGACAGCCTCTAGACAAGTAGATGAAGTTGGGCAGGCGGACAGCGAAGTGGTTAACGATTGGGAAGCGCTGGCAGAGGATGACGAGGCAACAGGCCAGACAGTACACAGCTCCGGCAATCGACATGAAGGTGTTGTTCTATTGATTGTGGTGTGCCGTCAATTTATACCGCTGCCGCTGCAGTTGCTCTACAACCAGCAACAGTCGCGCTTTCGCCTGATGGCGACCCGTGAGCTGCTCTGCAGCAATATGCGCGCCAAGAACTTGGAGCTGGATTTTGTCGAGGACAACTGCAATAGCAACAGCCCGAGGGTGACTGTCAAATATGCGCGCATTGAAAAGTATAAAGTGCTGCCCTGGTGGCATTCAGATTTCAAAAGGTTTCTCAAATAAAATTGATATGCGCACAAAAAAAAACTAGAAATATCTTTAGGTCACGAAATATATAAGGGATAGAAGACCTTTGGTTTAAATTAAAGATCAGCAATATGTGAGAGGCCGAGCCAGCATCTTTGCTGACTTTCACTATTATCAGAATCATGTGATTGGATGTGAACCCGAGCGGGACATTAAACGGACCTTATCTCAAGACGACAATTGTGTACATACTGAAAACAGATGTTGTACATTGTTTGGGAGCTACCTGTTGCCGATAAACAATTTAGATCGAGCATTTTTTATCATTCCATTTGGATGCACACAGATAGAAATCGAGCAAAGAGTACATTTTGATACGTAATTTTATAAAAGCGATTGTTTTCGTTATGATAAAGGATTACAACTGGAAGATAATTGATATATACACGTTCAGCTTAAACATAATTGTGAGTTACATACATACAAAAAAACATTAAGAGGTGGTCATTATAAATTTGTGTGTCTTTATGAAAATAGAGCCAAAACTCGGAGTGCTGTGTTCCCTTTGCAAGCATTACACCTTGCCCAGTAGATCGTGTCCGTACGGCTTCTTGCGGTAGCCGCCTTTAAAGGCGAACAGCTTAAAGGCCACCACCATCATGACAATGCAGAAGGCATACAGAAACATGCCCATACGCATATCCATGTCGGAGAAGACGTTGGAGATCTGACGCTTTTGCCGCATCTTGTCGAGCGTCTCGTGCAGCAGCTCCTCGCGCTGCACGCCAAAGCGACTGACAAACTGCGGATTGTGTATGTTCTTGAGGAAACTCAGCACCGCCTCCTTGTTCCACTCAATATCCAAATTCTCTTTCGGGGCAGACGCTGACGACTGCCGGCACTTGGCACAGCTGCTGGCACTGGGGAATTGTACTTTCGGAAATTGCGGATCCTCGGTATCGTCGCCAGCCAGACGCTGATTGACCTCATTATGCGCAGCCCAGAGCCACAGTACGGCTTCGTCTTTGGAGGCAACGTTCCAGATTTTGCGGCGTGTTGCCATTGCCTGAACACAGGAAACAATATAGATTAATAAAATACACTTGTGTCAATTTAAGCAGCTGCTGTCAAAAGACAACAACCCAGATCGTCTGTATTCAAAAAAAAAAAACAACCCATAATGTCATTTAATGCTTGCGTAATATCCCATCTTGCGTATGAAGACGAGTAAATCCCATTGGGAATATGCACTAAAAAACATTATAATCATGTAAACGTGACTGCTCAAGTTAACTTGTTTAGCAGCATAATGCTTTTCACAAACTATATAAGGGCTTTGACCCCACATACTTAGTATGTGTATTATATATAATACAAATATGCTTAATCAGCAAGAATAGCTAGACATCTGTACAAACGCGAAGCGTAAGTGGGTTACGCAGACCAGACTAGACAAATTTGCTTGCTCCGATATTGGGCAGGTTGGGTAGAGAATAACTATATAGAAACTATATAACTCGCACTATTTGGAATTTTTCAGTGTGTTATTCCCGTGAAGAATTGTATACATGTATTAACAATTGTTCGCATTTTATTTATTTATATTTCGCTCTCTTGTTTTCCACCCAAATCAAATTAAGTTTATGGCCAATGTATGTGATAATTGAATAATCGTGAGTTAGGCTCTAATAAATAACTTTTAATTTGACATAAGGCTTTGCAGTTTGGTGAGTTTGTCATTTAACAAATATAATGAGCGCGATATGCTCTGTTTTTTTCCTAATTATATTTACCCGAACGTCTTTTTGTCAATTTGTGTAAATATATGTGCCGTAATTACAGGGTATTTGCTAGTGCTTATATATGCTACATTTCCTAGCTATCTGCTAGGTTAATTTCGTAGGGTATAAATCTATCTAATTACGGGTTATCTTTTGGTGCTTATATTTATTTATGGGGTGTACAGTTGAAAATAACTTTCTTAACATTTTACATTCTGAAATTCGTGCAATCCATTCGTAAATCGTAGTTAAACAGGCAGAAAAAAACCCAAGCTAATAAACTTTTTGATAAATTATAGCTGCGGGCCCTTCAGCTTAAGCTGATTTTGTTGTTGTTAACAACAAGTAAACAAAATAAATAATTTAATGAATTTACAAATAATGCATTAGGGCTCGCCCCGCGCACCTGCTCCTACAGCTTGGAGGTCAAATGCTGATCTCATAGTGAAAGCGCCAATTACAATATTATTAACACGTAGGCACAAACTAAATTGCCTCTGTGTGTGTGTGTGTGCGTGTGTGTGTGTTTTAGATGGAGGTGACTCACCTGGAAGTGTTCGCTGCAATCGGTGCAGCCAAAGAAATTCTTGATATAGCCATGCATCGCCTGCAGCACCTCCAACGGATCCTGCGACTGTTCGTTGCCCGCCGCCTGGACGCTCATGAAATGGAAGAGCGTCCACAGCGAACAGCTGAAGCCGCGCAAATGCGGACTGGAGCCCGTGCAGCCTACATAGTGTGTGCTTGAGTAGATGTGACCCAGTTTCGATTCGAGGCGGCGCA